GTTTTTAAAATGTTTCACGTGTTGATAGATATGTCTCGTTAAAAGCAGCGGGTTAATGCGTTTATTATTATTAATTAATTAATTAATTAATAACAGTGCATCACCAGCACCACCACGCATACCATCTCAGCATTTTAAATCATTAATTTTAATTGACGCCATGCTACCTTTAATTACTCCAATGGTGTAGGCAAGCCGATAAATGAATGAATGCCTTGTTGCACAATGCTCACGTACACACATACTCACGCACACACAATTACACGCATACATGCACGTACACACACACAGTTATACATGCGCGCACATACCTACGTATTTTTTTTAATTATTCGCTAAATGTCATTTTACTTTTTAAAACTCGTTAGTTGTTGTATAAATGTATCTGTATCTATTTATTAATTAGTGTTTGTATTAGCACCTGTGTGTGTGTGTGTGTGTGTGTGCGTGTGTGTGTGTGTGTGTTGTGCGTATGTGTTTGTGCGTCTGTGCTCTTGTAAGATTCACAGCTGACATACTAAAATGTACAATTGAATTAATTAATTTGAAATTGAATTTAGCGCCATCAGCGCATTTAGTTTATTTATCTCCAGGATAACGCAACCAGGAAGATGTGCTATGTACGTGCCTTTTGTACGTGTCTTTCTGTCTCTGTCTGTCTGTCTGTCTGTCTGTGTGTGTGCGTGTGTTGGCGTGTGTGTTTGGGTGCGTATGCAGTTACATTTAACTACATTTGCTTGTGTGTTGTGTTTGGCTCTTTGTCTCTATATTTTTCTGTTTTTCTCTATTCCTTCGTACATTCAGTCAGTCGGTCAATCATTTATTTATTCTTTCATTCATTCATTCATTCATTCATTCATTCATTCATTCATTTATTCTTCTTTTCATTCATTCTTTTACACATTAAGTATCCTGGGAAAAATAAATAATCAATTATCGCCGTGTCCAAATTTTTTGCAGTTGATTTTTATTTTTTATTTCAAGTTTTTTTTTTGTTCATTCATTCATTTATTTGTCGTATTTCATTCCTCCGAGGCATTTTGATATATGAACGGATAATAACGAGAAGATAACGCAATGATGATGACGACGACGACGATGATGATAATAATAATGTAATAATAGTTATAATAATAATAATGCTGATGATGATAATCATATGCGGCAAAATAATGGCCAGTCACGGCGTGTCATCTAGTGTTGTCGTGTCAGCGCTATATAAATAAAAATAATTTTTTAATTGTTGTAAACACATCTTTATATACACGCACGCACGCACTCACACACAACACACACACACACACATGCATGCATACACGCTCCTACACACATACATACACATATATACACACGTATATTTAATGTATGTTATGTCTATTTGATCAATAAGTTATTTTACAATGTTTATTTGCATATTGATGAAGTTTTTTTTACTATGTTTATTTTTCAATTAGTGTACTATATATACGCAAACACACACACACGCACACACACACGTACGTGCATACACACACAGGTACACACATACAAACACGTATATACTCAACCATTATGCTTTTCTAGTTTAACCTAATTTGTTTGTTATTTATGTTACTTATAAATTATGCCAGGAAATTTTAGTGAGTTGTTTATGTAGGTATGTATGTATGTATGTATGTGTGTGTGTTTGTTTGTTTGTTTGTTTGTATGTGTGCGTGTATTCGTTCGTTTGTATGTGTGTATAATATAATGTAATCTAATGTAATCTGATAATCCTTATCTAACTAAATAAATTTAAAATTCTGTTAAATGGTTCATAGAACATGAATGTAAAAGTAGTTGTTGTTGCGTCAGTAACTTTTGTAGTAGTAACGTTTTGTGTAGTGATAGTTGTCCTTGTGTCAACGACAGCAGCAGCTGTAGTAGCAGCAGCAGTAGTAGTAGTAGTAACAGTACTAGTAGTAGTAGTAATAGTACTATCACTCAATATTTCTGGCAGATATGATTCAATGGGAATTTAAAATAATAACACAATAACATTGCTTATATATGTTGCTGTTATTATTTATAACTATTATTAATTATTATTATTTATTATTATTATTTATTATTATTTATTATTTTGAATATTTATATTGATATTCATGAGAAAGTACTGCCCACTGCATGGGTAACTACTGTGAATATGTGTGTGTATGTACGTGTGTATAGAATGGTTCGTGTGTATGTGTGTATTTATGCTTTGTATGTATGCGGATGTGTGTGTGATTTGTGTGTGTGTGTGTGATTTATGTGTGTGTGTGTGATTTATTAATTTATAAAGGATGTAAGGTTAGGTAAGGTTTTTTTTTTAGATTTACGTTGGTTATGTTGGTAATGAATGGTAAATTTGATGGTAATTATGTTCACCATTGATAGTGAATGATGAGGATGATGATGAAGAAGATGATGATGACGATGATGAAGAAGATGATGATGATGAGGATGATGGTGACGATGACGACTGACGACGATGATTGATTGTAACAAGGAGGAAGCTAACATGATCCAGGTTACATCACGTCACACAGACACACACACAACACACACACGCACACACACACACACACACGCGCGCATATTAACATGTGTCACGAACTTGCAACAATGCCGTTATACGCTTTAGTACTACTGGCTGGAGCTTCTGTTTTTCTTTACATCCATATTCCTCCCACTAATACGTCGATACTCATTTACTCT